AGGCGGGTAAATAGCAAAATAAATCTTGAACTGACCTTTGAGCCTATGCTAAAGACCAAATAACCCCGATAAGAAACTTGACACGACTAATGACAGACAGCTGACGTAAGAAGAGGTGTGTTTCTAATTCAGTGTTTTGACAAATCAAAACCACCATATGCTAACAGAGAGACAGACAGACAGGCCGACAAACAGACAGACAAACAGACACTTTATTTCAACACAGAGTTTCTTCAACTTTCGTTTTTTGGACTACCAAAGAGGAGGGTCTCCGCAACCCCTTCTGACGTCAATCCCGAGACGAAGTGTTACAGATAAATGTTAATTTGTTTGCTTTTCTGTGTTTCAGACGAAACTGTCCGATATGCCGCCACCCTCTGTTTAGTCAAGACCCACAGTAGAGATAAAGAACTAAAGAATCACTGTGATCGTTCAGGAAAAGCCCGGATTTTGAAAGATTTCTGTTACTACAGTTGCCAAGATGCGAATTGTACGATTAATAGGAGAAAAAGGCAGTTAATTTGTTGACTAAACAATGTCATGTTAAAAGTTCGGTTTACTTTAAAAAAGTTTCAAAGTTATCCAAAAAAATTCCAGTATTCAAGATACAGCGCGTTGAGGAGTTGCGCTACAAAGCGAGAAAAGTGACTTGAGATTCATATTACGGTGCCCTCAACAATTAAATAAATTAAGAATATGATACCAGGACTTCGCACGACAGGAACTGCCGCCAGCAGGAAGCAAGAATAGCTAATGTACCTCGGCCAGGAAATTCTATGGACAGAAACCTTATTATGCGGAAAAATATTGTGATGAAAGATTTTTAGACCGTGTGATAAATCTGATCCCTGATTCGGGGCTCAAAAGCCTTGTGATCCCTGATCCGACCCTTCTAAGCCTTGAGCCCTGAGCCCTTTCCTCTGAGCCCTAATACCAGTCATATTTTGGGCTTTGAGCCCTGAGCCCATATACCATGTTACGACCCTGATATCAAGTATCATGTGTACTCTGGCAATTTCTACATTAAGCACTCGAGAACGGACCATATGGAGAACTCCTTTTCAAGAATTGGTGCAAAAATATGGAATAGTATTCCCGACAGTGAACGTGCTCTAGCTAAATATAAATTTAAGAATACCCTACAGAGTCGGCTACTGGACTGTATTTTGATACAGGAGGATACTTATGTTGGCGTGCGTGCTTTATTGACATATTTAGTGAATATTAAATTTTCAGTTTTATACTACTACGTGGGAAATTTCTGCGGTTTGACTGGCTTAGAGCAGGGGTATTTCAGCTTAATTTGAAATACCTACATGTGAAAATTACAAAACCTTTGCGGGTAGTATGATTTTTGGCATAAATACCACTCGTGACATTTCAAAATTGTCTCAAATTTCACTCCCCTAGCGGCTCGTGAAATTACGTATAACAATTTTGAAATATCACGAGTGGTATTTATGCCAAATATCACTACAAATCATGCTATTTCCTATACTAATTTCATTCAGATCTTGTTTCATTTACCTGTTTTGAAATTTATGTATTCTCTGTCTTGTTAATTAGTCTCGCTTGCGTAAGCAGCGAGACTCATAATATGCAACGCGTTTTTCGAACGGGGGAGGGGGGGAGGGGAGGTAGTCCCTTATATAGGCTATATGGGTATGTGCGGCGCCAAAGGGTATGTTTTTCTCAGCCGTTTTGGTCTGAAATAGGGTATCAATTTGGACCATTTTGGTCTGAAATAGGGTATGGTTTGCGCACTCTAGTCTTGAATTGGGTATGTTTTTTTAGAAGAATTAGCTACTTCATCATCATTTGGCTATAAGACCATTTCCCTTTTAATGTTTACGCCAACTACCGTAAACGCGCCGTAACAGCTTGTCACGCGTCGGGCTTCAGGGTTTCAGGTCTGAAATAGGGTATCAAATTTTTGATCAGGTCTGAAATAAGGTGGGGAAAATCACAGATTTTAGTCTGCGGTGAATAGGGTAAGGGTTTCAGGAAGCGTGCCACGCATCCCCACCCAATTTTTCTGGAAGTACTCCCCGGGCATTTTTGTCATTTTTGGGTTAGAAATGGGGGGTCATTGTGCCAGGCGTTACTTGCGGACACCGTGGAAACTGGGACTAAGAATCGTTGCCTGATGGAAGCCACGCATGTTTTCCGAAGAAAGCTTAAGAAAGATTAAATTTAGAGCTTTTCGGAAACGTGTCGGTCCACGAATTCTATCGCTTGAAAGCGTTGATTACTTTGGAGCAAGTGAACACTACTGAGTGGTCGAAAAAAAAAATGCTGAATTAGCAAAATTGCGATGGTCGCGGTGTTGTAAACTTTCACTGTATGCAAATGAGTCTTGGGATGAGCATGCGATTTATTTTCGGCGATGATTGAAAAGACGTGCCATGTAAATCACTATTTCGATATCTGGTAATGATGTAATTTCTCTGGAATCGAGGCCATTGAATTTTCGTGTCTTTATACACTCGTGTAGGCTGCTACGGCAGGGGTATTTTTGGTTGTCACTAACACGCGAACTAAATCAATTCAGAAGCAAATAAAAAGTATCGACGTCGATAAAGTAGGAATTAAAAAACTTTTAGGGTGTAAATCATGTTTCTTGTAGAACAAGAAGGCGCACGAAGGCGTGAACGCGGGATGTGTTGGTGTAAGTAAGAATTACCTGTATGTTGAATGGCAATGGAAAGTTGAGTAGTGTATCAACAACAAATGTGTGCAGGAGAGACGGAGATGTTCTGTTAGGGACTAACACACTAAAAGATGAGTTACACACAGGGGTTCCTTTGCTACTCAAAACAAAACTTACATCAATATTACCACCATATATGTTAGGAGTATGGGGTAGTTAAATAAAATTTGCATTACCTTTACTAACGTACGTCCTCAAAAAATGCACTTCCACATTGAACAATAGCATGTAATGTGTATCATACTTCCAAAAACTACAGGGGCTGCAAGGCTGTGCTCTATAGGGAAAATTTCAGGGAGCGCTTCGGGCTCCCCAAGCATTTAAACTGGGGCACTTAAGGGCAGGTTTTATGCAACCGGGCCCTGGGCCCGGTTGCATATAACCTACTCTTAAGTGCCCACTTAAGTAGGTCACTTACGAATCCGTTATGGGTACACTTACGGGTGTTGCATGAAACGCACTTAGCACTCTCGTAAGTTACTGTTTTACGTGGTAACTTACGGGCTCACTTAAAGGCTCACCTAACTTTGATACAGTACTTTATTAATGACTGACTCTTCCTTTTTAAGCTAACCATCGGTGAGTGTAAAGAAATTTTTTATTCGTTTCGAACACTTTTAAGCCTCTAAAAAAAATGAAATTTGCATGCAATAGTTATTTTTCTTCAATGTCTACTGAAAATGATAATTCTTCTTCTTTTTTCACAACGTCGGCTTAAATTGTACATCAGAAAGCGCATTAGAAGGAATTACGTGAAGAAAAATTACTTTTTTTCACTTCTCAGTAAAAGATCTTGTTAACTTTAGTAAAAACAGTAACGATACGGGACCTTCATAGGTCCCGTAAAGTTTACGAGCTATTTTTCCCGTAAAAAAAGTTTTATGCAACACCCGCAATTTCTGTTGCATAACCGACACTTAAGTGAACACTTACGAAAATCGTAAGTGCAACCACTTAAGTGAATTCCCTAAGTGGACCACTTAAGTGATTTAATGCAACTCACTTAAGTTACGAGTGCACGTACGTATACCCGTAGTTGTTACGGGCGTTTTATGCAACCGGGCCCAGGTCTGTTAATGTATTTTTCCGTGGGGTGCCTGTCGCACACCACGGTAAAAATCCGGTTTGCTTTGTTTTTCATTGTACGAACAATTTGCAAAGCCAGCCAATAGGATTGCGTAAAATCTTTACCGATTACTTCTTCTTCCAAGCCAACCAATGGGATTGTACAAAATCTTTATCGATTTTTGTATCGATTTGCTTCCTCTGAAGTATGTTTCAGGACGTTCCTTGCCAAATTTGTCGCTTGTCAGTTTTCCCACTCGGGATTTAGGATGGCTTGTTAACCAATTAAATCCTTCTGGGTACTGGCAAGTCGTCACGAGAGGCGAGCTAGGCGAAATTATTTCTTTTTATTTAGGTTTTTTTCCCTTCATGATTCTTTTTNTACTGAAAATGATAATTCTTCTTCTTTTTTCACAACGTCGGCTTAAATTGTACATCAGAAAGCGCATTAGAAGGAATTACGTGAAGAAAAATTACTTTTTTTCACTTCTCAGTAAAAGATCTTGTTAACTTTAGTAAAAACAGTAACGATACGGGACCTTCATAGGTCCCGTAAAGTTTACGAGCTATTTTTCCCGTAAAAAAAGTTTTATGCAACACCCGCAATTTCTGTTGCATAACCGACACTTAAGTGAACACTTACGAAAATCGTAAGTGCAACCACTTAAGTGAATTCCCTAAGTGGACCACTTAAGTGATTTAATGCAACTCACTTAAGTTACGAGTGCACGTACGTATACCCGTAGTTGTTACGGGCGTTTTATGCAACCGGGCCCAGGTCTGTTAATGTATTTTTCCGTGGGGTGCCTGTCGCACACCACGGTAAAAATCCGGTTTGCTTTGTTTTTCATTGTACGAACA